GAGGGTGTTTTTCTTAGGATATTCATTTCCTTAAACTCCTAAAATTACCTAATTATTTATAGGATGCCAGTTAATTTTATGTTTGAATTATTTTTCTAAACTAAATTACCAAATTTACTTTATCATCCACATGTTGTATGGTATAATTTCTAGAAGTTTTCAAGAATTGCTCATTTGTATGTAGCTTCTTGAGGAAGTGATGGTATAATTTCATATTTTAAACAAGTAATTTTGCTTCTGTTATGTACATCAAATGGAATGATTGTTGATATACTGACTTTGATAGTGTGAATACTTAAAAGTTCTAAAAGCCTTTGGAAAGAAATGGGTTATGTGTTCAAACTTCATCTCACAAAGAGCTCCTCACTGACCTTTATCTCCTAGAATTTTCTTAAGAACCTTTGAATTCTCTGTTTAATTTCACAAATTACACATTGGTGATGTCAGCCCTTAGCCTTGCTCTGTCGGGGGGGGGGGAAGGGACGGGACTGTCCCCTAAGTCACTGTGATGACAAGGTTCCAGGACACTGATTAATACACCATGAACATGGTCCTAAAAGTACGATACTTACATCCATTAATCTGCTCTGTGTTCTATTCATTGAATAAATATTCCTTATAATTTTTCTGATAATAGCAAAATCCAAATATCATTTTATTTGAGGAAATTTTTGGACAACTGAACCTCACCCTGTCCTGCTGTTTCTACTTGGTTTTCAGGTTTTTCCCCAAATTTACCCTTTCATGAATCTTTGTGAAGAGATGGAGAGGAACTGATCACTTCCTTTTGTCACTGAGTCAATGAACACACTGGCAAGGAGGTCAGAGGGGCCTTGCACCGAAGTCGAGCCTCTTACCAGTCGTCACTGGGTGACGAGGTTGTGCCACAGCACTGTCAGGGTCCAGTGTTGACGGCTGGAGACTGGTGAACTCCTCTATGGCTTCTTGTTTCTCTATTTAAAAAAATCTTTTCTTTCCACTGACTTTTATGGGGAGAATTTTTAAGAGTGGTTATTATAAATATTACAACTGCAGGTGCGACCCCAAGCTGGACTTCACAACCCTGTCAATGTACAAAACTCGGTGGACAATTCTTAGCTGTTTTCAGAGCTAGCTGCCAGTCTGTCGGGGCCATGGCATAACACACCAAATGACAATTTATATCCAGGTGTCAACACACCTGGTGAATAACTCTCTGATGGAGGAACCTTGTTCAAGCAAGGATCACAAAGCCACAGACACTTACTACTGTTTGCTTCTGTCTGTAATTTCTCATATGCTCCTACAGTTTTTCCCTAAAGTGCAGTGGGATTTTTTTTTCTACAGCCTGTATTGGTAATGTGTTTTCCTCATGAATATATATTCCACTTATTGGGCATCTTCTAGACTGTCTAGAAGATGACTCCTTATTATCCATTTGATATCTATAATATTAGCTTACACAGAGTCTGGTGAATAAATATGAATACAAAGAAATTCTACACAAGTCAGGAACTATAAGTCCCTGAGAACTGTTTTATTTCACAGCGCAGGTTGACATAAGAAAATAGTTACATCCACCCAGCTCCAAGACAATGGTATATCATTAGCTGATTTAATGCTTTGAAGTAACTTCAGATTAAGACCAGGTGGCTTGCTATATCACAAGGGCACACGGTTGAGATGCCTGGCTAGGTTGTAAATACAAAGACAGTCCAATTACTGTTATCTGACAAATGATTAAGTCCTTGCACCCATTCCTGACCTCAATTTGTGAAAATATATTCTGACTAGCCAAGGCTACAGAAAATAACTTCACTCTGTAGCCCCTAATGAGGACTGCAGGTGTTCTTAGATAATTAAAAGTTACACACAGGACAAAAAGTACATTTTAAGGTGTAAACATGATATTTCCATAGTATCCTGAAGAATACAGACTTAACCTAAAAGACAAATGGTTTCTCATGATTGCTGGATTAAGTCTCAATTGAAAGATTTATGGGCTCCTTGCCTGAAGACTCAGTGTTTGCTCACCAGCTGCCCTCTAACTGCAGGGAGTTAGTTCACAATGTTTACGTAGTCATGGTTTCTTATCATTTACTTAAGAAATGTAATGGGACCCCCAAATGTAACTTTTATATTGCCTGAAGGTTTCTGTTGAGCATATACAGCTGTAAGAAGAAAGAGGAAGGGGAGCCAACGTGAGAAAAGAGACAGATGAAGAAAGAGCAAACGAGACAATAAAGAAAGTTACCATCAGAACATGTCTGTTGCTTTCCTAAGAGCCTCGGATGAAAAAAAAGTTCCTGAAGCCCTTGCTGCTCTGCAGCATTTTCCTTTCTAACCCTGGAGCAGCCTGGAAGCTGGTCTTTCGGACTGCAACACCAGCCGTTAACGTGAACCCTCCCGGGTGTTTGTTCATGGCAGTCCTGGACAGCAGCTACTTCACTGCATGTCTACACAGAGCATCTACATCTGCCTGGTGCCTGTTTTGCCTTCAACATGGTGCAGCCATGTCTCCCTAGTGTCCCTACTTTTCCAAGCAGACCAGCATAGACAGGGCTGAGGCCATATGTAACTGCAGTCCAAACCCAACCACATACAGGGCAGTGCTACATTGCTCCTGAGGTCTGGCCTTCACTGCTGGCTCTCAGCGATGAATGTGCAGATTTTTCTTGCTGCTTCTTTTTCCTTATTGGGCATGCTTTGTAATCTGCCTGCATAGTGCCCCCCAAACCCCCGCTGCCACACATACACACACAATGCCAGGACACGAAGTTCCCAGATGTGGGTTATTCAAATGTGACATTTCAGAAACTCGTGCTCTGTCCCCACAATCTGCTTCCCTGTATTCAGAGCAGTGAAGGCAGAAGAGTGGACTTGCTCCACGGTAAAATGCAGTCTTAGCACAGGACATGGTGGCTATGCAAGAGCCAGTTCAGCAATTCATCAAGCAAATGACACAAACACATAAAATAAAAATAAAAAAAATTGTCTTTTTTTTCTAAGTGATGAATTGGCTCAGAAGTCATCATATACCTTTCTTTTAATGATCCATGATATTTGCACAAATGAGCCACGTTTACTTGAGGGACAGGATTGCTGATCCAGTTGTCTGTATGGGATGACTAGTGGGATGTTTTCCTGGTGCCGTATCAAGGAAGGCGAATTGGAGCCTACGATGGCATCAGAGTGAGTCTGAACTATACTCTGGAAAAAAAAAGGGCTAGTTTTTTCCACTGTTGTCTCCGTAACTTTAACTTGGAGGATTCTAAAATAAATCCACAAATCATGGTCAGTATGGTAAGTTCACAGCACCCATGCACCCTTTTCCCTTAAAGCATGTAAGGACGGTTAGCCACTTCTCGCTGAAAATGACAGCAGATAGCACATTTGATTCACAAGACATTAAAGCTAAATATTGTATGAGGCTTATTTTGCTTGGTCTGTAAATCCCATGTGTTTAAAATATGGAAAATTGCAGAGAGCCTGTTTTCTCAAGAGCGATGTGAGTAGAGGCAATATTAGAATTACTTTTAAACATTGGTTATATTATACAGACCCAGAGTTACTCTTAAGATATTATCAGTGTATAATATACACAATCAAGATGTTATCTATATGTATTTACTTTTTATTAAACAAATATACTAAAATAGATGCATGCCATAGATAGATAGATAGATAGATAGATAGATAGATAGATAGATAGATAGATAGATAGATGTCACAGAATAAGAGATGGGGCTGTGTCCTAGTAATCAACCATGGCCCACTGAAGACTGGACACAGATGAGCGCCTTTGATTGACATCTGTGCTGTGCCTTTCATGGGAACAAACCCATGTGCACTGGACCAGTGGCTGGAGAAGACAATGTCCTATTGCTGATGCTATTACTGTGGGGCGATAAACTCATTTTCAGACAGATACTGTCTGTTCTCAGTCAGTGTGGAAGTGACAAAGTCGGTTACACAAAAGGGGCGAGAAGAATGGCGGTCAGTCAAGGCCAGAAAGAGAACGTGGGACAGGACAGATGTTAGACACGAACAGATGGCGCGGTGGTGTAGGGTCATGATGCTCACGCCCTGCAGCACTGCAGCACAGCTGTAGTCCACAGAAACTGCTTGTACGTTTGAAAGGGATCCAAAGGACTGAAGGTTCCAAACACAGAGAAATGGCAGTGTTGGAGAAGGTGGGAATTACCCTGACTTAGTCAGACCAGGATACGGGGATGTCTTGAACTATGTTACAACTGTACCCCGCATCTAAGTATAAATTGATGCTAATTAAAATGGAATGAAAATCCACATTTCAAGGTTTTCACCAAGTATCAGCCCTAGTTCTGAAACTTTAAAAGTATCACTTGTTCGTGAACTGTAAACACATCCATCTTCTCTGAGGAACTTATGGGTCTGTAAGTCCAAGGACATAGCATGAGCTGTGAGACATTAGCCTTACAAACCTTAACTTTCTGATAATTTCCTTTTCCATATGTGACTGGAAAAATTGCAGCAACATGCTTTTCCTGTTTAAGAAGTCTGAATGAAAACATAAATATGTACCTTGAACTGTTTTTTAATTAACTTATTTTAAGTGTGTGGGTGTTTTGCCTGCATATATGTCAGTGTGCTATGTGTGTGCAGTGCTCACAGAGGGCAAAACAGGGCATATAAACATGTATTTTAAATTAAAAAAAAAACTTACTTTACGTATGGTTTGCCTGTGTTTGTCTACCACATGCATGCAGTGCCCATAGGAGCCAGAAGAGGGCGTCGGATCCCCTGGGATTGGAGTTCCAGACAATGGTGAGGTTCCACGTGTTTTTAAGGTTTTCTGCAAGAACATCCAGGGTTCTTAGTTACTGAGTCATCTCTCCAGCTCCAACATGTATTTTATAGGAAAGATTCCATGAAACATCTTCATCAAAATTTCTAGGATAAATTAAGATTTACTTACTTTTATTTTAAATTATGTGTATGCATTATATGCACATGGGTGCAGGTGCCATGGAGGACAGAAGAAGATATCAAACCCCTGGAGCTGGAGCTTCAGGTGGTTGTGAGCTGCTTGACTTAGGGGCTGGAACTGAACTCCACTGCCCTGCAAGAGCAGCAAGTGCTCCTAACTTCTGAGCCCTCTCTCCAGGCCCATCTCCAGCCTCCCCTCCCTCAATAGCTGCCATGGGTTCCTGACTTCACTTCCCCTTAATGATGGCTGTAACCTGAAAGTGTAAGCCAAAGGAACCCTTTCCTCCCTCTGCTGTTTTGGATAGGCTGTTTAATCACAGCAACAGAAACTAAATGAGAACACATTCCATTTGAAATAAAACATATGAAGCTTTAGTAAAAGTATACCCGGCAAGATGACAAGAACCAAAACCATGTATCACAATGCCCCTAAAATTTAACCTCAAAATGAGGCAATAGTACAGAAGCATTTCTATAATATGTGAACATCTAATGCACAGGAATTCTAGGCACAGAGGGAGCCCATCAATGTGCACATAATCCAGCCATGACTGAAAATGATGAGGCATTGGGATTCAGGGAGATTTGAGTACTGAGATGGGTACTGGGCTGGGTCCTTCAGTTTTCCTAATGATAATAGTGTTGGGTACCAATGATACTGTTATTGTTTGTAATGAAGAATTTGTCTTGGTTTTCTCCTCAGATACTTACTCTAGTTCTTTGTCCTATACGATGAGAAGAATCAACAGAATCTATGGAGTTGTTGACATACAAAATAGTTTTTTCTCTGAAGTAGGCCTTGGGATTTCATTCAACAGCATCCTCCTCCTCTTCCATATCCTTGAGTTTCTTCTTGAACACAGGCCCCGGACCACTGACCTGCTCATCAGTCTCTTGGCCCTCATCCACCTTGGGATGCTACTGATGATGGGGCTCACAGCTGCTGACATTTTTGCATCTCAGAATACACAGGGTGACATCACATGTCAATCCCTTGTCCACTTGCACAGGTATTTGAGGGGCCTCTCTCTCTCTATGCCACCTGCCTGCTGAGTGTCCTTCAGGCTGTCACCCTCAGCCCCAGAAGCTCCTGTTTGGCAAAGTTCAAAACTAAATCCCCACAGTACAGCCTGTGTTCTCTTCTTGTGCTGTGGGGATTCTGCATGTCCTGTGGTGCTCATTTCTCATTCTCCTCTGTTGCTGACTACAATGTCACCTCACAAGGGCTCATATTTGTCACTGAATCCTGCATTATTTTACCCATGAGTTATATCAGCAGGCACTTATTTTTCATATTGAGGATATTTCGGGATGTGTCCTTTATAGGTCTCATGGTCCTCTCCACTTTCTACATGATGACCCTCCTGTGCAGGCACAAGAAGAAGTCCCAGCATCTTCACAGCACCAGCCTTTCTCCAAAAGCATCTCCAGAGCAAAGGGCCACCCGGACCATCCTGCTGCTCGTGAGCTTCTTTGTGCTGATGTCCTGTTTGGACTGCATCATCTCAGCCCCAGACTTATGCACAGCAGGGACCCAATCTGCCACAGTATTCAGATGATGGTCTCCAATAGCCATGGCACCACCAGCCCTTTGCTGTTCATTTGTACTGAAAACCGAATTACTAACTTTTTGAAATCCTTGGAATTCGAGGACATAGGAAATGCTTAACTGTTGAGGAACTTAAGGAACCAACATGCTAGCTGCTGAATGGCGATTCCTGGCCTAGTGCCAATGTGCTTCTGGATACATGTATATATGACTCACGATTTGTTAAGCCTGCTTCCTTTGAAATATGGATGACCAACACCTCTGGATATTTGAGTAAAACATCATTCTGTGCATTTCTGCTTGATGTCAGTAGGGGAAATCTGTGACACTTTAACAGCCTAGGGTGCACTTATCGATAAGCTAAAGTATATAGCGCTTTTTAATAAGTCGATCATCTCAACACTTCGTATTTTACCTAATTAAATATGTAAGCATTGCCACAAATTAGCATATCATCCATCAAAAGTTCATAAGTGTACAAAAATAATTGATACAGAATCTCATTGCTCTCCCACTCCGTCCCTGTTCCAGCTCAGCCATCCCTTTCCCTCATGTTCTCATCCCCCATCCCCTACCCTCCATTGCCCATCCCTCATCCCCAGTTTACTCATGGAGATCTCAAGATGAGAGTTCTTGTAACCCCAGCACTGAGTGGCAGACAGGTGGGACCCTTGAGCTCATTGACAATCTAGCCTAGCCAAATGATGAGGCCCAGGGTCAGTGAGGAGCTTTGTCTCTGAGAGTAAGCTGGGAAGCTGGTCCAGTGGGTAAAGTGCTTGCCATACAAGCGTGAGAACCTGTGCTTGAGTGCCAAGCATAGTAGAGTCTGTCTGTACCCAGTGCTCCTGTGGGAGGAGGGAAATTGAGAGCCTGTCTGTACCCAGTGCTCCTGTGGGAGGCAGGAAACTGAGAGCCTGTCTGTACCCAGTGCTCCTATGGGAAGAGGGAGATTGAGAGACTGTATCCAGTGCTCCTACGGGAGGAGGGAGATTGAGACACAGGAATCCCTAGAAGCTTGCCGCCCAACTAGCCTGAAGTAGACAGCAGAGAATAACAAAGAAATCCTGTCTCACAGAAAGTGAGAGATAAGAATTGACACCTGAGCTTAACCTCTGACCTCCACATACATGCCCCCACACACACACATAAAATAAATAAATGAATAAATAAGGTAGGGGTGATAAAGGAAAACAGTTAATGTCCATTTCTGGATTCTACATGTACATGTACACACCTGCACATGTATGTACACACACATGTACATTCACACAAACATGTAAGTTTACAACATTCATATACACACACAAAGAACATTTAAATGCTAGTAAAAGGAGCCTGGTTCCTTGCAGAACTGGCCAGTTCAAGGACATAACAAGATAAATGCAGAGGAGCTTGGCTGTCTTTTACCAGAACGGAAGTCCTCCCAAACAACACAGATGCTCAGCAAAGGGCTTGGGAGTGGAGATGAGAGATCGCGGAAGAGCCAGCACTGGAAATTGAGCCATAGAACAAGCGAGACTCAGCAGCAGGCTGAGCTGGAAATACAGAATGAACACATCTCTCCATGCTGACAGTGAGAGGGGAGAGGGAAGGTCCCGGGAAAGAATTTAACTGATGTGCATAGGGCACACCTTCAGGGAGGGGAAGCTTCCAGTTTTGATGGTGGGCAGACACAAAGAGTAAAGCAGGAAGAGTGAGAAGATGAAACCTCAGAGGATGGACCAGGCAAAGACAACCTTGTCCAAATGATGGAAAATAGCCACAGAGATGGCATGTGGATGTCACATAATCCCTATTATGACTTCACTTCTGTTTGTTCCTTGAAGTCATATAACAGTCTAAACACACACACACACACACACACACACACACGCACGCACGCACGCACGCACGCACGCGCCACCCACTACTGTCAAGACAATGAAAAATAAGAACAGGTTGAGATGCTGCTACAGGACAGAAGAGAATTGTGAGTATGGAGTATGGTGTGCTTCCCTGCATTGGACCCAGGGACAAAAGAAGGGGCTGGTGAACCCAAAGGAAACGACCCAGGGTCAAGAAAGAACCAAGAGAAGTTAAAATTCAATGAGAAAAGTGAAAATGAGAACAGAATACCCAAACCTGGGAATATCAAAAATCAGTACTAATGAAGAAATTCTTAAGTGAGTGTGTG